CGCCCATCGACGCTGACGAGGCGGAGTCCCTCATGGCCGCCAGCGACCTGGACGGCCGCGGGCGCATCGCGTACGACGAGTTCATCGCCGCCATGATGGACTCATCCAGGTGTGTGTGTGTGTGTGTGTGTGCGTGTGTGACTGCGTGTGTGACTGCGTGTGTGACTGCGTGTGTGACTGCGGGCTCGTGCTACACTGGGCACCCATTCTTGCTTGCGTGATTTGTGTGCGGGAGGGGGGAGCGTCAACGGCCATGGTTGCGGCTCCATGGACACAAACACGCGCACACATGCCGCACGCACACACACCATGCGCACTCCCTGATAGGGTTATGAGCCGCAAGGGCGCTGCCCGACGCAGCTTCCAGGAGCTGGACCGCGACGGCGATGGCGTCATCAGCGTCGAGGACCTAGCGCAGGTGAGCGCTGCGCACAATGCGCACGCCGTGCATGCTGCGCGCGCTGTGCAACCTGCGCACGCTGCGCACGTTGTGCGCGCTGCGCGCGCTGGGAGTGCCGCGCTTGCCGCGGGTGTTTCGGGGGACTGCAGGCGCTGAGCCTGCTGTGCATGCTGTGTGCACGCCCCTCTTCACGCCCTTTTCGCAGCCAAACCCCTGGCGCCGGCCCCGCCCCCGTTCGCCCCGTGGCCGCCGTCCCCTTCGCAGGTTCTGCAGGAGGCGCCCGCCGGCTGCGGCGCGCGCGTCAAGGGCCGCGCGTGCAGCTTCGACATGGCGGCGCTGATCGTGAGCGAGGTGGACGCGGGCCGCAAGGGCGGCCTGTCGTTCGAGGACTTTGAGAGGGTGTGGTGCACCGCGTGACGCCGCGATGACGTCACTTGATGACATCACATGATGTCACAACTGCATTACCCACGCCCCGAGGGTGGCGCCGCATGTGAAGCGGCGCCGGGGCCCGCGGCGTGCGGTAAAGAGTCCAAGGGGGAAGCGGGCCCTCCTCACGAGGCGCACGCGTGCGCGTGCGTGTGGCCGCTGCCCGCCCGCTTCGCGGCCGCCGTTGCGCGCCATCCGTGCCCCCGGCCACCCGCCGCCGCGCGCGCGCGCGCACGGGCGAAGGTGGCGGGGTGGAGGTTTGCAGACGCAACCGGGTGGGGTGGCAGGCCGGACGTATGCCTGCCGCCCCTTTTGGAAAGCCAAACCTCGACAAATGAGGTGTCAAGCTGGGGCCTTACCACTGCCACGCAGCACCCCGCTACTGAGAACAAGGGTGGGTTGTTTCTGGGCACTTGCCGTGTGCTGGGCTGCTGCTGAGCCACTGTTGGCGCGCGGTCGCGCCCCTGCGAGCTTCCCCACCGGACAGCGGCCCCCTGGTGTGCTGCCTTCGAGCCCGTGTGTTTCTTGTGTTTCTCGGGGCGGGGGACGACACCGCGCGGGACGGCGTGCGGTCGGTGATTTGCATCATCGGGCACGCGGCACGAACCGATCCGTCCCACTCGCCGATGATTCCGGGCGGCCAGGGACTGCCACACGCATCTCCTGTATCTCATAGCAAGCGCTTCACGTCACGTTGTTTCGCGCGCAGTGCCCCACGCGCCGGGAACCCCCACGCCCCCCTGCACTGCGCCCCGCCGCGCCGCGCCGCGCGCCTCTGTGCGCCACGCGCGGCGCGGAATGCGGGGCGAGAGCGGCGGCGCCCCCCTCTCCAGCGTCGCGCCCACTCTTCCGGCAAGTCACCCGCCGTATCAGGCCGCCGCGCCGGCGGTCGAAAGCAGCGAACCCCGCCTCGTCTCAAACGCCAGTAAAACAAAACTCACGCCGTTCACTTGCAACCTCGTGCCGGGCTGGTCTGGACTGTGTTCTTTGTGCGTGGCACACCCCACACTCTATCGTTTCATGCGCCGCCGCCGGCGCAGCCGCCGCCGCAACAGCCCGTGCCAGCCCCGTCCGCAGGGGCCGCGGCCGCGAGGCTCGCTTGCGCGCCGCGCCGCGCCGCGCCGTGCGCGCGCCCATGCGTGCCGCGCTCGCCCCTCTTGTCGCCAGCAGCCTCGCCCTCTCGCCCCTCATCCTGCGCCTGACCCCTGAGCTTGTCTAGCGCCCCCTGAGCCCGTGTCACCTCCCACAGCGCACCTGCAGCGAGGGGGCTGCTCCAGCCCCTGTGCCAATCCTCTTTGCCTTTCACAGCAGCCTTACAAGCGTGGCGGGTCTGTACGTCAGCTTGCGCGGCGCGGTCGTCTCTGCTTGCGAGGCCTCACCAGCCGCACGCGCCTTCGTCCTTGGGCCTGAGTTGTGTATCGTGGGCAAGGGCACCTCGTCTTTGCCCCAGGTCGCCCGTCAAGCCGCGGCCTGCTGGGTTCTTACCGGGGCGTGCCGTGATTTACATTGTTTCGGCACAGCGCCGCCCACCACACTGCACCGATCCTCTTTGCCCTGCCCCCTCTGCCGCATCACTCGAGAGCGCAAAACCGATACTTTTTCCCTTAACACTGCCTGTGTGACACGCGGCGCCGCCGCGACACCCCGAGGCCCCGAGCGTGCTGCTGCGTTGTGCCGCGCATTTCATGCGCCCTGCTGGCCTGCATTTGTTCGAGAGCAGTGCAAGCAAGACGGGGGCCCCATAGGTCATCGCGGCCAGTTGCATGCGTCTCTGCTTGCTGGCTTGCGGGTGGAGACGCCACATGACATCCTCTCTGCAATGCGCGCGGCCGCTGGTATGTGCTGAGTAATCCAAGGCACCTCCCTAGCAACCGTTCTGAGTGATCTGAGACATCTCAATTTCAACGCCACCACGCTTTCAATCAGCTAGCAACCAGTCCGTCCTGGTGCTGCAACTGATTGACAGCTCATTTACAGATTGATGGGGTCGTGCTGGACGTTTCCGCGGCTTGCTTTGGGACACCAGTGTAGAATGTTGGGAGCGTTGCGGCCTGCCGCCGCCAGCATCTCGGCGGGACGGCGGCAGGGCGCCTCGTCAGCAACAGCAGCGGGGGCAGAGGCGCGCCGCCCGACCGCCGCCAATGTAATGCTGAGGGGTAGAGGGGCGCCAGAGACGCCGCAATGGCGGCGAATCAGGCAACAGACCGCCTGAAATTGAGGGAAGTGGTTTGTCTGGGAGCTGTACACGCGCTCAGGCGGCGCAAGCCGCCAGGAACGCTCGAGCTGGTCGCTGCCGAAATACTTGTCTTTTCAACAGGAGCGGCTGCTGCGGACTGTGGGAAAAAAGGGCAGCTGCTGTGAACTATCGGAAGCGGCGAAACGACAAACAATACGGAGCCTGGGGCCCACAACTTGAAAGCCGCGGCAGCTAGAAGGCCCGCGTGCAGCTGGAGACAACGCTCAGGCTCGGCTGGCCGTGGCCACGCCGCTCAAGCAGCGGCCGCCTCTCGGCGCACCTTCAGGGAGCCTGCGCCGCGGCCGCAGCCTCCCCCGCCGCCAGCGAGCCGGCATCCGGTGGCGGCCCCGGCGGCGGCCCCAGCGGCAGCGACGGCGCCGCCGCGGCTGCTGCATACTCCTCCAGTTTGCCGCAGCGCTCAAAATCGACGCGGTACAGGCGGGACGCGCCGATGATGTGCTCAGGCAGCTCCTCCGGCGCGTTGCCCTGCACGGGGAGACCCGCGGGGCGGCCGTCGGCCGCACGGCGCGTGCTGGGGCTGCGGTTTTCAGCTGCCCGGGCGCCGCGCTTGTCCCATGCCCACCCATCCGTCGATCAGGAGCGGCTCACGCGCCCCACCCGCACGTGGGCGCGCGTCTCGAGGGCCGCCAACCCCCATCCCCCCCTCGACAACCCTCGGCATCCCTCCACCCCTGCCTGTGTAAAAAGAGCACCGGGCAACCCTCCAAATTTCAGTGACCGTTTGACCCTGAACCCTGATCCCAAAAACCTGAACCCTGCGGCCCCGCACCTGCACAACAAACGCGTTCTCGAACACCACGCTGCTGAGGCGCGTGTGATATGCCCCCAGCGCCCGCCGCGCCAGGAAGGCGTATGAGTGGACGTCCATGTCC